CTTTTAATATCAATCACCCCTTTTTGCATTTTTAGTCTCCAATGGCATACCTGTCCTCACAGAAATACTTAACGCTTCATTGTTAAAATGACTGTAACTAAAAACTTTATAAGTTTGAAACAAGCCAGTTCAAAGCCACTGCTTTTCTATGGTATTTCATTAAAATGCTAGGGTTAAATTAAAATAGTATATATTTTTCTTTTTAATTTGCAATAGCTGGGGCCATAAACAATTATAGAAAAAAGAAAAATTTAAACAAAGGAGGAACAGCAACTATAACGTCAAAAAATTCGCATACGAAATTTGAAAAAACTAAGAATCGTATGAAAAAGAATTTTCTTGTTATAATTAATACTGTTTCAAGTTTCTGAATAAACATTGATACATAACTCAAATGATTGTATAATGTTTTTGATGTTATAAGCTTGATGCTATAAAGCAGTGTTCCCCAACCTTTTTATCACCGCGGACCTGTCAACGTTTGATAATTTTACCGCGGCCCNGCTATAAAGAATTAGTATTGTCACCAAGTTTTGTTAATCACACTATTATTTTAATTTCATTAAAGACAAAAAAGCTTTTTTGAAAAATCTCTGAGCTTACAACTGATAAATGCCTTTTAACATTATTTTAAAGTGATAATACAGATGTAATTTTTTATTTTATTTTATAAAAAATCATTTTTAAAAGAATTAATAATATATCAACGGATCAACTAAGTTTTCTTTAATCAGAATACGTTATATAATGTATCAAATGGTGATAGCTTCGTCACGAATACGCATTTTATATGCACTTCGTCTACATTTAATTACTTCAAAACGCTACTATTTTGTGGACACAGTAAATTTTGTTGAAATACGGTATTTAAACCATACATTTGGTAATATTTCTGTTCATATGGTAACAGTTTACCGGAAACTCTTGTTTTCAAAATTATAGCTTTTATAACAGAACATTCAGTAGCGAATTCATAACTGTAAAGTGATTTTAACCAAATAAATGGTTTTTATATCATGCTCTGAGGTATGATTATTAAATTTTATCGCATGTTATAAAACCATATTTTGTTGTTAATTTTACCAACATCATAACCAAAGCTCTTCGTTAAAAATTCCCGAGCTTTTTGGTGTTTCCATAGAGCCAGAAACATTGTAAATTTTACCATGTTCTGGTAGTTTTGACCATACTTTTTTCTCAGTGCAAACAAAGAGAAAAAAATCTTAAAATATTATTTGAGTGATAAAATTGAATTAAATAAATGTTATCTAATATATTAGACTCTGGAACTCATGAGATTATGTAATTCTCTTACTCGCAGTTAGTTAATGCATATTAGTATGCTTGCATGTTAGGGAACGTTTATTCCAGATTCCAATGAATGTCTTCCATTGCATAAAATCTAGTTTATTTTCAATAAAAACATCCCTTCTGTATTTTATACTTTTTTTAAAATAATAAGTAATGTTTAGATCCCCGTGGCAGAATTACGGCGACATTGTCGAAGAGCGTTACAGAGTTTTTGCTGATAGATTTTTCAATTAGGAAGGGAAACATTTTGCTTTACCTTTCTGCATATGTTTTCGAAAAATGTTTTTTTTTTCTTTTTTTTTTCTACAGAATTTTTTTTCAAAGATGTCTTTCTTGCGCATCAGAGAGGAAAGAACTAATCATGATTTTTCTATTTTCATTTTAGATTTAAAAAAAAAATCGGTAATGGCTGGCTTTAGCTAGAATTTCAAATGGATAATAAAATACAAAATTCAGTTTAAAAGATTGTTCGCTCTAGAAATGATCTTTTTTTTTCTTTTAGGAACACCATATTTTACATGCACTTATTTGAGTATCTCTTTTTTAAGAGTCCTATTCACGTGATTCGTGATCTTCATTTTGGGAGTTACTGCACGGATTTTACGATTTTTTATTTATGCACGAATTTTAATATGTAAACTGCAGCCCTGATGGCTCAGGGGATAGAGCGTTCGCCTTCCACCGAGGTGACCAACTTTCACCGACCACAGTGCTGGCCTAAAGTATCCTTAGTGGTAGACAGATCATGGGTTAGAATCCTTTTGCCGTGAGGCTAACTGTGGATAGTTTTAGTGGTTTTCCTCTCCATGTAACGCAAATGTGAGTTAGTTCCATCAAAAAGTCCTCCACAATGGAAAATGTCTCCCAATACGTGATTCAAGAGCTCCCTTGGCTTCTGGATTGGGTTCAAAATTACAAGGCTACGAAGTTGAACATTAGTAGTTATAAACCCAAAATAAATTGGATCGTCTGTTCAACGACGGTTATAAAAATAAAATATATAAACTGGTATATTACTAGATGAAGTTTTGCTTACTAGATTTTATGTGCTTTTTAACGAGTTAACTCATTAAGTATTCCAGCATTTTCTTTAAATTTTTCCGGCTCACAATGCAAAATAAATAAATGGATATAATATGAATAAAAGCTTTTTTTTCTTCTAATGATTGGATTTTCAGGTGCCAATTTCAATGGTTCAAGGAAGTGACCTTGAAAATGCTATTTTTCGACGGATTCTTGAACATTAAAATATAAAGGGTTGCAAAATGTAGTCAGGGCAATTTCCCCGCCATACCTCGAGGATTTTACTGACGAATCGAAAACTAGTGGGAAAAAATTCTTAAACTAGTTTATCAAGGCAAAAAGAATTTTTTTCAGTAAATGTTTTTTATTTTAGATAACGATGATCGAAAAATAATTAATTGTAAAATAGGCAAATTTTTCTATCATCTTAAAGTGAATGTAATTTTCAGTGACAAAATGCGAAATATGAGAAAAATGTACAAATTCTATATTTTGTTATGCAAAATTAAGATTTAAAATTTTTTCTATCATTATTAAATAAAAAATAATTACTAATTATTAAAAATATTTTTTGCATGAAATTATCTTTTGATAAAATAATTTTACTATGTGTCCAAAAAGTTTTGTTAACTTAGTACACTTCGTAACTTAATTAAAATTTTAATCTCGTATATTAATTAATAGTTAGCAGTAATTATATCAAAAGTAATTAGTTCAAAATATTTTTAACATGGAATTATCTTTAAATAAATGAATTTTATAATTGTGTCCAAAGATTTTTCAATTCGCTTAAAAAATTCTGGAGATTTGGCAAAAAATGCAAAAAATAAAATTAACGCCCAAACTTTGGACAGCTCTCCTCACCACCCTATATTTCTGGGATCAGAAATTTGAATCCATTTAAAAAAAAGGTATTTTTATTCAGAGAAAGTACGTTTTTCTGTCTGATTTCGTGATTTAAAATGTCGTTTGCACTAATTACTTAGCATATTTAAGGTCACCTCCTTGAACCATTACGATTGAGTCCTAGAACATGAAGATCCGATCATTAGATCAAAAGTTATACAGGGTGGCTTTTTTTTTATTTTACGCACTGTACATACGCACGATTACAGAAATTAGAAGAACTGCTTCTTACTATACATTTCTTTCGCGTTCTTCAATATTCATTGGTTCTATTCTACCTGAATTATAATTAATAATTTTATTTATGTTTTTGTTGTTTTGAACGCTGTTAAAAAGAAAATATGGATCTAAATGTTTGAAAATAATACAGCTAAACAAATCTTTCTTAAAAGTCAGATTTTACTATTATAATTCGAATTATAACTTATCCTGCTTAAATATTCATTTTCCATCCAAAAAGGTTAATTGGTTCAACTACATAAGCAGTTGAAAAAATTTATTTTTTAATAAAGATTCCTGTGACGCTTATTCTTTATTAGCTAGGCTAATAAAGAATAAAACTTCCACCATAAGAAAGTTACGGAATGAATTTTTTCTTTTGTAATTATCTTGAATAATAGGGGAAAAAACTTCGTTAATTTACTATAAAAAAGCCTTTACTTGTAAAAGAATTTCTCAAAATCCAGTTACTTTTTTTAAAATTTTTACCATGAACATTAGAAATTAGTAATTTAGAAGCATATTGGTGGAGCTTGCTTCAGAGCCCAGATTGGTTATACTGCGCCAAATAGTATTAAGTAATTTAGGTAACATGATTAAACTGTGCTACAGACTAAGTACAATATGGAAAAAGTAAGATTACTAGGACGCCTCAGGGTCCTCGTAATCCTTCCGTGGGAACCGTGTTTATTTCTATCAGGAAAGTCCTCTGAGAAATGAAAGCATACAATTGGATATGGCGATGATTCTAAACAATGAAATGATTAAATGATTCATAGATTTAAATCATTAATTTCATGCTTCCATTTTTTATTGAAATCAATTTATTCCGATTTGTTAATTCATTAATTAATCAAGTAATACTAATAAAATGTGTCGCTACATTTTGACAATGTTTCAAAGCATTAATTCAAATCAATGAAATCTTTTCATTAATTTTTTTATTGAAATCAATTTAATCCTCTTCGTTATAATTCACTTTTCTGAATAAACAGCATTGAATAGAATATGTCGCTTCATTTTGATTATGTTTAAAAGCAATAATACAAATCAATCAAATCTTTGAATTCATTTTTTTTAATTTGATTTTCTTTATATCAATTCGAAATGATCTTCATAAATTGATTCAAATTATTTTGATGATCTGATATAAAGAAATTATGAAAACATGATTGTAAGTGTGATTTAAATAACATGTATGATATTATTTTAAATCTTATTTATTTATAGTCCTTATTTAATCCTGTCCTTATTTAATCCTCTTCGTTATAATTCACTTTTTTGAATAAACAGCTTTGAATAGAATATGTCGCTTCATTTTGACTATGTTTAAAAGCAATAATTCAAATCAATCGAATCGTTAAATTCATTTTTTTAAATTTCATTTTTTATATCAATTCGAAATGATCTACAGAAAATTGATTCAAATAATTTTGATTATCTGATATAAAGAAATTATGAAAACATGATTGTAAGTGTGATTTAAATATGTAACATGTATGATATTACTTTAAATCTTCTGAATAAATCCCTCTTTTCAGACGGTATTAATGAAGTTTCAGCTCAATGTCAACTCGTAGTGCAACATGTAACAGATTCGATGTTATTTAACAGTGCAACACTTCGGCTCGAGCGAATGACTGCTGCAACATTTTTATCGCCAATTTTTGAAGATTTTGTTGAAGGTCTTTCAGCTATTATACCTTGTCCTAAGGAAAACCTATTTATCTTTAGCATTCAGGTAATTACTTTATACACTTTTCAAAAAATTAATTATTGGATTGTTTCTTTCCTCAGTATAGTTTCCATACTTTTTAAATGCTAACAAATTGCATTAGCTTTAATAATGGTCTTAACATTTCTACCTTATCCGCGTTAAGACATTCTATTATAAGGTTACTGAAGTCAGATTTGCAAAATTCAATGAGTTTAATCTTATGTGTCGGTAGACGATATCTTAAGAACTATTATAATAAAACATTCGTAGTTTATATCTATTTATTTTCGGGACTTCTTATTGCTAATATAATGTAAATTTAGAAAAGTTTAAATTTAGATGCAAATGTTTTTATTGTTTTTGAAAATGAATTTTAACTGATGTCAATTCAAAATAGCAAAGTTTGAGCTGTGCAAATGAAAGGGATTAGAAGTTAAATATATAGGAAAAATGGGTAAAAAAATTGTAATTAAAATATATATATATACTTATCGGTGAATCATATGCTAGGAAATCAAACAATGTTACTTCAGTTATATATATTTAAAAATTATTTTTTTCTTCCCTTCATTTTTAGCTTAAGTAATTGTAAATATGATCCAATTTCTGAAGCTATTCACTTAAACTTGTTTTTCAGGAACTTATTTTCATTACGATAAAAATTCTGACATATTCTGTTGAACGAGCAAACAAATTTATTATTTAGGTTGAATCTGATTGCAGGACTTTCGAATATATTTTTCTAGAAAACGTCTTTTAAATAAGTAATGAATTTAATCAGTCGATCAACATTGTTCATTTACAAAGAATTTCTTCACGTTTTGTAGGAACAGATTGCAATAAAATACACCTTTTCTTTAAGATTTTCTATTAACTTTTTGATAAATCAAGTTAGCCCCCTCTATTCTTAAATTGTTACAAGCTTTACCGACACAATTGTCAAACATTCTCGACAAAACATCAAACATAATTTAAGCATTTTTCTCACAATACTTCTCTATAATTATTTGTTGAATATATTATTTTGCAATCTTTTGTGTATGTATAACAACATTTTTTTAAAAAAAAACTTTTTATGCAATGTAGGTCAGGCATGAACATGAACTATTGCAATTTGCATTTACCTGATGTCTTCTTAAATCGTTTTTCTTTAGTACTTTATATTTTTGATGAAAATACAAAACTCGAATATATTAACATTATGTAATTCTTTGGTTTTAAACTTTGTAGTTTTTTTTAAATTCAATTTATTGTCTGATAACACGAAAAATCTTTTTGTCTTAACGAGAAGAAAAAATAAATATCGTTACTATTTTTAAGTCTAGTAATTTAATTGTAAAACCGTTAATGTTGCTGATAGTAAACAATTTTTAAAACTTATCATTGAATGTGATGAATATTATGATTTTGAAATATTTTAAATGAAATGGAATATTTCTGAAGAAAGGAAAACATAATGTAATTCTATATTACCATTATGTAATTCTTTGGTTTTAAACTATACAGTTTTCTTAATTCTATTAATTGTCTAATAACTCGAAAAATATTTTTATCTTAACGAGAAGAAAAAATAAATATCGTTTTCACCTTTAACAAATCTCTACGCTGAAATACTATAACTTTAAACTTTTTTAAGTCTAGTTATTTAATTGTGAAACCGTTAAGTTGCTAATAGCAAACAATTTTTGAAACTTGTCTTTGCACGTGATGAAAGTTATGAAATATTTTAAATGAAATGGAATTTTTCTGAAAAATAAAAATGCTGTATTTATTGAAAAAGAATTATGCAATTCAGATCACACACGAGCTTTGTATTATAATTTACAGTTATCCGATACATTCTTAAATCGTTCTTAATTGAATGAGTTTTTAATTTTAAATTGCTTTATATTTTAGTTTAAATTAAAATCGTAAATAAATATTATTATCTTTGATAAAAATAAATGCTTTTGTTTTAAATAATAAAATTTTTATTTCAAAACATTATTTGATAATACTAAAATCTTACTTTATTTTTTGTGGTATTGTTAGCAAACGTCATAACATGATAAATTTTATATTTTAGTATTAATTTGATATATTTCTGAAAAAAATGTTGTAAATACATTGCTGAAATTTTATGATCATTTAAAAAGGACACAATTTTGTTTTATCTATAATTACAATAGCTTAAAACCAAAGAAGTTTAGTTCATAAAATTACATAGGTACTCATAAGTTAAAGGGAGAGGAAAATACTGAAATATGCATTTAAGCATCTTTATTTAATTTTTCACAAATAAATCGATGATATTGTGAAGCATCTAAATTAGAGAGTCGTCTCAGTATGGGAGAGAAATATAGGATGTTCAGTGTGCAAAATATTAAAAAAAAAATGGACCACCTTAAATAACTTTTAATCAAATCATCGGATACGTTCTAGGATTCATTCTTATTGGTTTGAAGGGGTGACCTCACACACGCTAATTAATTAGTGCAGGCGATATTTTAAGTTATGAATTCCGACACAAAAGAGAACTTTCCTTGAATAAATATGTTACATCGCACAGATAAGCCGAAGCATTTGTGATTTAAACCATTAAATGTTGGTATGTGCGTCGTATCTGAAGGGCGGCCTATACGGTTATTTTTTCTTTACTTTAAACTACTTGAGCTTGAAAACTCTATTTTGTTGAATTGATTGTCCTAAATTTCTCTGTAACTCACTACAGAAATTTCTCTGTAACTACTGTACTCTTTAGTTCACTACATCGAACCGTGATGGCTCAGGGGATTGCCTTTCAATGAGGTGAACCGGATTCGAATCCCAGCTATCGATACGAATTCCGACTTGCACCAACCACAGTGCTGACATAAAATATCCTCAGTGGTCAAATTCTCCTTGCTATCAGGCTAACCATGGAAAGTTTTCATGGTCTTCCTCTACATGTAACGCAGATGCAGGCTAGTTCCATCAAAAATGTCTTCCATGAAGGCAAATTTTAAATCTTATTAATTTATACGATATTTTATTTTTAGATAATTATAATTAAAATTAATTTCATAGTTAATAATTATACTAGTAAAATTATCATACCGAATATTTATGGAAATTCAAATTTCAATTTTACCCCCCCCCCCCAGAAACTTTTCCTGGTTGCGTCACAGGTATAAATTCTAAAAGGTATTGAGCATTATTTCTCTCAATCTAATTATTCCCCTAACCTTTTTTTTAAGGTATTATATGTTGTTGAATGCTACTCTATCTTCTAAAGCTTTTTAAGAAGAGAATAAAAAATTTAACCTAAAACCCAAAGAGCTGAGGAAAGGGCAGATATAGAAAAACGCTCAAAAAATCTTAACATTACTAGAAGAAATATAAGTTTTTCTATTTTACAGGAAGATACTTCTTCCGAGGAAGGGGTTTTAAATGTGAGTTTTTCTGCAAAACCTGCAGAAGCACAACAAGATACATATTTTTCTTCTCAGTATTTACAAGAAAGAGTCTATCTTGGACGAGCTATACTTGCCAGATTGACGCATGTTCATGTAAGTGTACTGCTATTTTTGTTTAATTGTCTCACTCATTTTAGTTTAAAAATTTTGCTCCCTATAAAATAAATAACTAAAATAATAATAATAATAATATTTATAAGTTAAATTTTTGTAAAAAAAAACTCAATTTGGCTTAATAATTAATGTTGCACTAATGTGCTATTAGTGTTGTCTGGGATTCATCTTTATAAGCATTAAGAATGATCTAAAAAGAATACTTGTGGGCACGCTCACTACACTACTACGATTTTGATCCGAGTCATAGTAGATGACTCCTTATTTTTTCTTCTCTGAAGTCACCGGGGGAACCGAACTACAAAATATTTGGAGAAAGGGCATCCATCACAATACATTTTATCTTAAAAAGAGAATATTTCTCCTTTTAAAAGTGTACCCTTCAAAAATTCTTCCTTTGAAAAACGGAGTTGATGACATCATTGATCAGCGCTCTGTCTGTACTAGGAAAGGAAAACGTTTTGTTAATAAATGTTATATGAACTTATTACTTATTTAAATAAAAATAGATATATAATAAGCATTTCCTAATAATTTATTTATTCTCTTTTTTTAAATCCTAGTTTGTGCTCCAACCAGTCATGTTGCAAATTGTGAATACAGAAAAATCGATTCATTTCTAAATTTATTTTTGTTATTTTTCAACTAAAGTTTTTTTTTATTTCAGTGTGACTAAAATTGATAACACACACTGTGAAAATGCTAACTCGTATTGTAAATTGTATTGAAATGTCTGATTTAAACTAACTTTTTCTTTCTTCGTATTATTATATTTTAAATATTTTTTTTATTTCAATGTGATCCCAAGATATTTCTGAACCATTGAATAACATAACGTAACAAGCATCATAAAACATATTTTTTTTAATAGAATAAGTCATTGCTATTAATTTATTGATATTTTCAACGCACAGTGATCCTTAATATCTGGGTTTGTAATATAGACTTTACGATTCGTAATTTACGCGATTAAAGCGTTTGTAATTTATGCAATTGCGTTTACGATATTGCGTTTGTAATTTATGCAATTTACAAACTACGTCTGAAGCATCATAATGTACAAGTTATATGTCTTGCTTCATATTTACGTTAAAAAAAATTTTAATAAGGTAAATCATTGCTATTAAATTATTGATATATTTAACACGTAGCAATTTTTATTATCTGGGTTTGCAATGTACACCTCACGATGCGTAATTTAAGAGATTAAAAATCTCATATCACCTTCATAATTTATGCGATTTACAAACAACATCACGAGCTTCACGATGTGCTAATTATATGTCGCGATGATTCATTTTCACGGAATTAACATCATAAATTACATTAGAAATTCATTTTTTTCTAATAATATCTTAGAAACTGAATGGAATCAACTGCTTATATGGTTAGAATTTTTCAATTGAATGAAGATTTCATATGCATGTGGGGAGGAACTATTTAATATAATGTTGCAGTTTCAATTGCTCATGTATAGACATGCCAGTGATAGAAGGAGGGATTTATAAATTTACACCTCAAATTAATGTTTTTAAATATAATTTTGAAGCAATAATTTTTTAAAAATATTAAATATATTTTCTATCTTCATTTTTTTACTATATATATGTATTTTTTACTGTGTTACAGTGTTTAGTTTCATTTTGTATTTGTTAACAATTTTAAAGCTATAAATCCTTGATAAACAATTTTTTTTTGTGATAACGGAGCCCTGATTTGCCTGTTAACTGGGGAATAAACCCTTGTCCACAACATGTTTCAATGGGGACTTTTATCTTCATTGTTATAAGTAATATATTTTGTGATATTCTCTTTGAATAATTTCGAAGACAAAAATTATTGTCATGCTTTTTTCAGCAGTAGTTTGTGACTGATGAAATATTTCGTCGCACACTTGTTAACAGGCAAAAAAAAATATTTATCTCTTAATTTTTGCTTTATAAAATTATGAGTAGGTTTTTAAAAAAATAAAAGGAAATTTCACAAAAAGTCTGGACCAACCTTTTGATATACTATATAGATTTTAACTATTCTTTGTATGAACTTTCACAAAAAAAGTTAAGGAAGTAAAAATTTCTTTGATAATTTTATATAAAAGGGAATTACTGTAATGTGCAATTAAATGTATTAGAATAAATTTTCTTTTCATTTTATTTTGCAAAACAGAGTTTTTTGAGTAAAACAAATGACTTTCTTACGAAATTGCAATTTTTTTTTTTGTATATCATTGACATAATACAATTTCATTATAAATTTTTCTATGGTAAGTTTTAACAGAATTTTTCTTTAAATAAAAAATGCTGTGTCACAAAAATTATGATTTTTTTTTTTTAATTTCAGGTTTTACCATTTGAAGATAATTTATGTGTGCGTGAACCATGCATAAATTTTGCCCAATGCCTATCTGTTCTTAAGTTTGGAAACGCATCAAATTTCTTTGTATCTGATATGTATTTTTTTAGATCAATTATTCCTGTAAATACTTTTGCTTGTCGTTGCCCACCTGGATTCACAGGTATTAATTTTCATATTCAGAGTAATCATGCTCTTTTTTTAAACGCTTAGGAAATAACGTATGAATGACGGGCTATTTTTTATAACTTTTATATAATGTAATAGTTAAATTGCTAGAATGAGTTTTGTCCATCTCCATTCTATGCCTTCTACTTCTTTTCTGAAACTTTGCTTCTTAAAAACGAGAAGTGTTTGTGATAAAATATTTTAATATTTAAAAAGTTACTCTATCTTCAAATTGTTTGGACTTATAAAATATGCAAAAATTAAAAATGATTTATTGATTTTAATAGTTTGCAACTAGATGAAAAATTGGCCAAATTATCATTTAAAAATAATAATAAGCATATAATTTATTTGTTCTTTGTTAAGTCCAATCAATTTTTTTCATCAAGGTAATATATATGCATTATAAAATTAAAGTTATTTTTCTCAAATTTAAAACACTAAAACCTAAATCTGTGATTGAATTTTTTTTTCTGGCAACAAATAGAGAGCGCCTTTTTGATGGCTCTATTTAGTGGTTTTTGGTATCATAAATTTTAATCACAGTTTTTTTAAAATTGAAAACACTTAGTTCTAAATTTTTAAAAGTTAGAAAGTTATTCTAATAGTGTTTGAAAATATAAACTATGAAAAATTGAGAATTATTAATTAATTTTAATTACCATATAACCCGGCGTATAAATCGACTTTTCAAACTCCTCAAATTTTAAAAAAATTCAAGGGGTCGACTTATACACTGGTAATAAGTCGGAATTTTGTGAATCATGAAACATTGAAGTGCTGTAAACAATGATATAGAACAATGTACTCTTTTCAAAAACTATTTTTACTATGTTATATATAATTAATTTCGCATTTTCTTCTATCATATTTTCTTTACATATTATAAAGATTTTTTTTTCTTGAAAAGAAAATTAATATAAAGAAAAGTTAAAATAATTTATTCAAGATTATTTTAAAAAAATAACACAGTGAAAAATTTTGAAACATAAAAAGCTGCAAATTTTAAGATTCCAGAACATCATCTCTGTCAGATTTAATAACGCTAGCAGTGTCTTCATAAGGATCCCAATCAGGAACAGATTCTACTCCACCCTCATCTGCTGAGTCCTATAAAAAATATTCTTCCCCTCACTCAAATAACTTTTTTGTCTATATTTGTTTTGGCTGTTTTTTATGCACATTTTTACTTAAAATGAATATGAAATTTTAAATTTGGAAATTTTTTTAAATGCTGAAGATAAAAATTGGATATTTTTATTCAAAATAAATCAAAATTTGTTAATATTAAAACGTAATGTTTTCAGTTATTAGAAATTAAAATTCACCATCTTTTTAAAAAAACTGTTTTAAATTAATATCTTTTTTAAATATCTTACAAATGTTTCGTTCATAAATTTCGCGACTTACTAAAGGTAGCAAAAAATGTTTAGAAAATTACATGCATGTTCACAAAGTTTCAAAAATATATTCTTTATCTCCTTTGGAAACATAGTTGAAAATTTTTATTTCAGGTATGAATTATAATTTTGAATGTGATACTGAAATCAATCTTTGTTATTCAAATCCTTGTTTAAATGGAGGAACCTGTGAAAGAAGTGAAGGTGGATATTATTGTTTCTGTAAACAAAATTACACAGGTAAAAGTAGTTTCTATTTTTACTATGTTTTAGTATATTTCCATTCATTTTTATTTAATAAATAAAATTTATAGTTTATTATTTTTATTTGAATAATTGGAAACTTTTTTTTTTCTTTTTGCGTTTGAGTTGTGTTTTTATTTTATTTTATTTTATTTATTTTTTTTTTCTTGTCAGGATTATGGGTTAAGTTGTAATTATATATGATATAACAAGAATGCTGAAGGCTTCTGGGCCCTCTTTATAGTTGGGAGGCTTAGAACATATTACTTTTAAAAAAATGATTTCTTTTTATTTCCAATAAAAATTATGTTTTATTTAAATAAAATTTTAATTTATTAAAAGTTTGTTCCCCGCTATTTCATAAAATTTCAGAAAGGAGATTCTGATGAAAAACCTGATGAATTGAAAGAAATTAAAAAAAATATTTTTGTAACATTGGTAGAAATGTAGAAATGGTAGAAAAAGTTTAATAATTTTTATATTTAAGCTTATATAAATTAATTATATTTTTTATTGTTTATTTTATGAGCCTCATTAACCTTACAAATTTGAATTTTGTATTAAAATAACCTATGTTGTAATTTTTTAAATTCATTAACAAAGTGATTTTAAGAAGAATACTGAGAAAAACCTTCCATTATATTGTCATCTATATGGAAAAATTTCCTCCAAAAAAACACTTAGGAGAGACTTAAAAATCTTAATTACAAGATTTTTTAATTTGAAGTTAATTTCCTTCATTCAAATTTATTTTCAAAATTTGTTAAATTGTTAAAAATTTGTTGACTTGTCCATCTTCTTGAACATAGCAGCTATCTTTAAACTAATGTGTTGTCATTCCTGTAATGAGAAAAAAAAATGTTTTTTTTTTTTTTGAAAGTTGAGAAGATTGACAAAGTATATTTTTGGTAGGTTGATTCTTTATTTACATCACACTAGAGCTGCACAGGGGCTCCTAAACTTTGATACATAGAAAGCTTTTCCGCTAGTCATGATCTAGGGTTTGAGTACAATAGACTTCTAGTCAATGTGCCTTGCTCCTTGGAGCTGCTCCACCTCGAAGTCTATCTATCTATGATGTATAAATACCTTTTTATTTCAGACTATTGGATTATTATTTATGTCCAAAATATGAAGAAGCACAGAATAAAAATATCCTACAGTGTACATAAAATTCTACAAACTAAAATTTTTCATTTTTCGATGTAATAGCTAATAATAACTAAACAGTTAAGTTTGATTAATTTAATTTTTCTATAATGAAAATACTTCATTACTTATTTTCTGTTGTTAACTTTCTTCTGAGATACATATTTCTAAGAGAAATTTAATTTTCTGCCTTTATTTAAAGCTTGGATCTCAGGAGGTCAAAAAGTAGGAAATAATTTAGTAAAATTTGCTACGCCAAAAAATGAGGGCTGCATCACTTCTGCAGTAACTTTCTATTATCTCTTAATTAACTACCCTTATAATTTTCGAAAGTTATGTGACCTACGATTTTGATTTTAGATGTGAAAAAAATTTTTTCCTTAGTTTATGTGAAAAAGTTTTTTAATTTTTTATTTAATAATAATTACTTTTTATAACTTTTTCCTTTATAATTTATAGGAGAAAGATGTGAAGTAAACTTGACCAACAGTACTTGTTATCTAGAGCTTTGTAGAGGAGGAGCACATTGTTCAAATAACTTCATAAGCTGTAAAAACTGCTCAGTTGAAACTTGTGAACTAAGAGCTCGAAGTTTTGAGAAAGGAACTTATCTTACTTTTCCAGCTTTGCGACAAAGACATAGACTTTCTATCACTTTAAAGTATGCTATTCTGAAATTATAGGACAGTTTTGAATATAAACTCATTTAACTGAAGACATTTTTATTTACACATCATGAAATGAAATTAAAGAAAGTAATATTTTAAGCTTTGATATTTAGAATTTCTTTTAAATTATTCAGTGTAAGATAACTATATTTTTATATTCTGTGTAGCTATTCACTGGAGCTGGCCAATATATAAGGAAATGTCTATGTTTTTTAATCTACTATAACAATATTAAAAATATATTCTCCCTATGAGGAATAAGATAAATATCAAAAATATCCACACAGGATTATATAAAAAAATACCAAAAATACTGACACTCTGTAAATACCACCACTAGATAACAATGCTTTGTTATCTAGTAGTAACTAAATAACAATGCTTTGTTATTATATCCTGACTTAGTGAATAAAACTCACTTCTGTGATTAATAAATGAGACTTTTATTCCACACCATGTTTCACCGTTCATGGATATTGGTGACTGAGCTTTGCTTTGCTTGGCCCTATTACTTTTGTTGGGAGTGGTGGCACAATAAATGTATTGGCAGATTCATCTGTTACAAAATTTTTAGATCAAAGCAAAGAAATTGGTCATTTCTATATGAATCTTTGAAAAATGAGCTATCGGGAAAATATATTAGTTTTTCTTTGAATCCGACTCTCCCTTAAAAAAGTAATAAAAAGGAACATTTGTCGGAAAGTTACATTAAATCAGTAATGTATATAAATCAGTAATGCATGAACAGTCATCAAATATTTATTTTAGATAGTTTTCTATATATGGGAGTCACCATTCAAGATCTTTAAGTGAGGAAAAATATCTTTTAACTTGCAAAGATTGTTAATTAAAAGCTATCCTTAGAATTCTTCTAAAATTTTTCGAAATTACGGCTAATTATTTGAGGGGAAAAAAACTTGCTATCATGGATACTTAAAATATGCTAATCGATTTAAATTTGTCATTGAATATACCTATCTATATTAAATTTTTGCATACAAATATCTATCTATACACAAATATCTCAGAATAATGTAAATTGATTAATAGCTACAAGCTTTTGGTAAAAGAAATTTAAATATTAATTTTAGTTCAATATTATTGTGTAAAGACTGATATTTACTATAAAATATTATTCCAGCTTTCAAAGCTGATTCAAAAAGCTGTAACTTGTAACTTTATTATGTTACTATTTGATTGAGGTATATATCTCAATCAAATAGTAACATAATAAAGTTACAAGTTATCTGGAAACTAATACTTCATAAGATAATTATAAAAAAATAAATAAATAAAGAATAAAAATTCATTCAAAAGTTTAATGGAGTTTTATAAAAAGTAATACAGATAGAAGAATTGTTTTTTTTTTTAGTTTCATAAGAGAATTTTTTTAAAATTAAAAGTGCATTTACATGTCATCTTCATTTTTTTAAAAATATCATTTCTCGAATAAGCATTTTTGTAGTAATACTCTTCTAATAGGATTCTTAAAATCTAATAGGATTCTTAAATCTCTAATAGGATTCTTAAAAGTATTTTAAAAAAAATGACTTTTTTTTCTTTTGGGCAAGTTAACATTGTTTGAAATAAAAAAATATGTAAATTAGTTATACTGTAAAGATTGCGATACATTGTAAAATATCGATTTTTTCTGACAATATATCAAGACATCGAAAATTCCGATATCGCTCAGCCCTATTATTCACATGGCGAAATGTTATTACTAATAACTATAATTAATTAATTAACTTATGCAATGTGTGCTCTTGAAAATTAGTTTTTTTACTTTCACCCCTATAAGTAGGTGGTGACAAAGAAATATTTACTTTAAATAAAGTATTTTTTATTTAATAGCACACAATGATTTTCATGCTTTGCTGGTTGATCATTAAAAATGTGTTTTTTTTATCAAATGATTTACATTCTGAGAATTACAAATACCAGTCATCATATTTTTAGTGGGAGAAGGGGGCATGGTTTTTTTTTCCCTTCAGAAAACTGTTTGTTTATTTTAAATTTTATTATTAAGTATTATTTTAAGTTGAGAGTGATAATTTTGAAATTAATATTCAACTGATGCTTTCTGAAAAGGAACCAAAAGTGAAAACTTTATGTGATGCTCAACTTTTAATTGAGGAACTGAGACATTTTATCAATCTAGAAATTATGAAATTGTTGTAAAAATGCTAAATAATTTAAAAATGCACCCTGAATTTAGAATAAGTCACAGCCACTTAAGAAACAAACTTCTATCGCATCTTTCTTTTCAACTAGATAAATATAAAACAAATGTATGTATATATATCAAATTTCTTTATCTATTCCTTTTAATTGTAAATAATATGTAATTTTGTTAAGTTTAAATAAATACCAATGTAAACAGTTATAATAGATTTTTATATCATTGCAATTCTTTTAAAAACAATTTATGTCATTCTCTTTCATTATTAGAGTATCCTTCTTATTAATGGACTATTTTCATAAATAAACAATTCTCGTGAACAAACAGTCTTTTTAATCCAGAAGTGTCCATTTCACTATATTTAAAGTAAATATATATATATTTATGAAACTAAAAATAATGACAGTTATAATGATAGTATAATAAAAGTTTTCTGAAAGGAAAGTGGGCCAGCTCTCACTCTACACCTCTGCCAGTCATTTTAATATATCTTTTACTTTATAGATTAAAACAAAACTATATTGATTTGATCATGGTGCATGGGCGGATTGTAAATTTGTGGAGCCCTGGGCTGAAACTACATAGGGGCCCTAATAGCCATTTTGTCAAAATACTGTTTTCTATAGTGATGTAGATAAGTATATAGAAAAAAATAGGACAATAAAATAATTTTTTTAATTTTTTTTTATTTGTGTATACAAACAACAACTGTACAACATTATTGCAAAAGAAATTGGAAGGTTACGAGTAGTTATGTTATATAAATTATAAAGCAACCTTTCTGCATCTTTGTGCTGCAAATTCCTTTATTTGCTCATCACATTGTAAGTCCTTCGTTAAATCACAATTTATGGAAAGAACTGATGAATGATTTAGTCGATGGCTCAACATTGTTGTCCTATATTTGTTTTCTATCTATGACATCATGGAGAAAGAGCGCTCCGCTTACAGCTAGTGATTGGCAAAGTTAAAAAAATCTTTAAGATAGTATAGAAATTTCGGAAAACATCAACAAGTTTCTTTTCATAAATTAGCATAAATTGATTGATTGTTGCTGCTAATTTACGTCGCACTAGAGCTGCACAATGGGCTATTGGCGATGGTCTGGGAAACATCCCTGAGATAGTTGTCTAAGNTCAATGTGTTCACGATTGAATGGATCGAACTCTGCCAATAGCTCCAGAGCACCCATAAAATTACCCTTATGTGGAGAACCAAATACTTCCTCGGATCTGGAGTACAATCCATCACAATTGAATAATACTTTGTGTCGTCGTTATTTATTTGAGTTATAATTTGTTTAATTACCTGTCGACCCATCATCTCAATTATTTCCTTATATACTGTTTTTGATAAGTACGGTATTATCGGTTTTGATCGCAGCTCTCGCTGTTCAATGTGTTCACGATTGAATGGATCGAACTCTGCCAATAGCTCCAGAGCACCCATAAAATTACCCTTATGTGGAGAACCAAATACTTCCTCGGATCTGGAGTACAATCCATCACAATTGAATAATACTTTGTGTCGTCGTTATTTATTTGAGTTATAATTTGTTTAATTACCTGTCGACCCATCATCTCAATTATTTCCTTATATACTGTTTTTGATAAGTACGGTATTATCGGTTTTGATCGCAGCTCTCGCTGTTCAATGTGTTCACGATTGAATGGATCGAACTCTGCCAATAGCTCCAGAGCACCCATAAAATTACCCTTATGTGGAGAACCAAATACTTCCTCGGATCTGGAGTACAATCCATCACAATTGAATAATACTTTGTGTCGTCGTTATTTATTTGAGTTATAATTTGTTTAATTACCTGTCGACCCATCATCTCAATTATTTCCTTATATACTGTTTTTGATAAGTACGGTATTATCGGTTTTGATCGCAGCTCTCGCTGTTCAATGTGTTCACGATTGAATGGATCGAACTCTGCCAATAGCTCCAGAGCACCCATAAAATTACCCTTATGTGGAGAACCAAATACTTCCTCGGATCTGGAGTACAATCCATCACAATTGAATAATACTTTGTGTCGTCGTTATTTATTTGAGTTATAATTTGTTTAATTACCTGTCGACCCATCATCTCAATTATTTCCTTATATACTGTTTTTGATAAGTACGGTATTATCGGTTTTGATCGCAGCTCTCGCTGTTCAATGTGTTCACGATTGAATGGATCGAACTCTGCCAATAGCTCCAGAGCACCCATAAAATTACCCTTATGTGGAGAACCAAATACTTCCTCGGATCTGGAGTACAATCCATCACAATTGAATAATACTTTGTGTCGTCGTTATTTATTTGAGTTATAATTTGTTTAATTACCTGTCGACCCATCATCTCAATTATTTCCTTATATACTGTTTTTGATAAGTACGGTATTATCGGTTTTGGTCGCAGCTCTCGCTGTTCAATGTGTTCACGAATGAATGGATCGAACTCTGCCAATAGCTCCAGAGCACCCATAAAATTACCATTATGTGGAGAACCAAATACTTCCTCGGAACCTCAAAATGCTAAGTCCCTTATACTTAAACATTTGACCACTGCAATAACCCGCTTTAGGACATTGTGATAATATTCTGTTTCCTTTTTTAATTGCATCTGAAGCTGCTTGTCTAGAACAGATTTATTTTCTATTCGTGTCAACCACACCAACATTGATTTCTTATGTTCATTAGAATTTTAATGATTTTCTAAACAAGTTCCTACGTGTTTCCAATCAGAAAATCCGGTTGTGTATTGAGAAGGGATTTTAGAAAAAAGTTTGCAAGTCAAACAAAAAACAGAACCAACCCNTTGTTTGTTTGCTTTGAAAGTTTAATCATTTATTTGTACCACTACCACTCAACTGTGTATTAAATTTCATTCAATTATGACGATTCCTTCATGGTGTTGCAATTTTCACAAACAGGAGTTTATATTTTTCGGATCTTTATTTTGAAGGTCAGTCATTTCATGTGAGAGGATGTCATTAATAAAATCATTATTTAGCAATTCTGGTCACAAGCCCATGTCAACATATTTCTCAAACTCAAACTTAATATTCTCTAAATTTCTTTCCGCCTCGGTATTACCGTCCTCTTGCTGAACACTAATATAGTTTTCAGTGGGATCAGAGGGTTGCTGGTAGTCAAGACTTTGCACATTTTTATCACTTATATTTTTTTCCTGGTGTTGTGATTTTCTGCTCCCTTCAAATAGATTCTTTTTGGATAAAATCCCTTCCTTTTCACTTGCTAATAAATTTGTAGCTATTTCATTCTCGTTTTTATGTTCTAATTTGAAAAAAGTTTCAATTTTTGCACATTTCTTTCTTTCTTTTTCTCAATCTATCTGTAATTTCCGTTTCTCAGCTCTACTTTTATATTTTCTACCAGATATAGTATTGTAAAATAAGACTGATATTTTTCTAAAAATAAACAATGAACTTGATAATTTTCTGGTAATAAACAGGGAATAAGATAATCGATGTAATATTGTTCTTCACGTCGCATTTTAATACTTTGTAATGAGTGCAGTAATTCACAAATTATAGTTAAAAATTGATTAAAAAGTTCATTTAGTATTGAAAAAATACATTAAAAACAAAAAAAGAAATGATTTATAATTCTTTTTACTTACCAACTAAGAGCAGGAAATCTTTTCTTATGCTGATTATGTACTTTCAATTATAAGTAAAATAAGAGAAAAGTCCGGTCTTTATAACTTTTAAGTTATCATTTATTAGTAAACTAAACAAGTTTGTCACTTTGAACAGAAGTGCGAAAAAAAAAATTACGTCGGGCGTTAAGCGGCGGCGCCGAGAAGTCCCCCGTAATAGACGCAAAAAAATACACTGAAAGAAGAGAATACTAAAAGAATTTCCCGTTCCGTTCGATAGACGTGCACATGCATGGGTTGATTGATCTCAGGGTTGCCAACCTTATAATAGTTTTTTTTAATATTAGATATTTCTTTTAATTCAAAATATCCCCTATTGTTTTCAGAGGGGACTGGGGCCCTTTGTATCCACGGGGCCCTGGGCTGCAGCCCAAAAAGCCCTTAAGTAGATCCGCCCCTGTCATGGTGTGTTGAGGGTTAAGACAAAAATGCTGTAAACCCATATGTATAGGTTGCAAACTAAATGTAAATTATCTATATTAAAAAATTTTTTTAAAAAAATCACAGCTTCTACAATCATGATTTGTCCGATTTTATAAATTATTTATTTGTAACCTCTAATGTGTACAGTTTTTAAATTAATTTTTTAACAGGAGTTCCAAAAATTATATTTTAAGAAACCTTGCTTTATTATGATAATATGTTAGATGTTATTTGTTGATTTACGCCAAAAAATCAGTCTAATATTAAATTATTGATTAAAATGAAATTGATGTGTTGAGAATTTAAAAAAATATGTTGATTTTAATTTTATGTTTATTTTAAGGTTTGCCACTCAAGAAAGACATGCTCTTTTATTGTATAATGGCCGTTATAATGACAAACATGATTTCATTTCATTAGAAATTGTTAATGCACATTTATTATTTTCATTCTCACTTGGTGAACAAGTTTCCAAAGTATCCATTAAATATGGAGTGAGTGATGGGCAATGGCACACAGTTCAAATGACTTATTTTAATCGAGTAAGTATCGATAAAATTTAATTCTTACAAAAATGTTTTTTAAATGTTTATAAACTTATACTGTTTCATTGGTCATAAATAGTGTTGTAATAAACCAGCTTTTTAGGAGAAATAATTTTGAGTAATTTTTTATCTTGCACCACTTAGCTCATAAATTCCAAATCAATATTTTATCACTTAAATTAGTATTTTGTTGTTTTCTGTTGTTGTTTGTTGCAGGATAAAAAAAAAATTCAAAGTTACATTTGTATTTCAGTGTTCCTTTCCTAATATTTTGTAAAAACAAAATTATATTTTTAATAAAAATTTTAACCATTATGAATAAGTTTTTATTATTTATACTTGTTTTAGATTTATTTGAATTACTTTATTTTGTACATATGGTTAAATTTGTGTGTATGGCGATTTTTATACCTATAAGATTATAAAGTTCTATAAACTTTTATCCTTTTTGTAACTATTGTACTATTTATTTTATTTACTGAAGTAATTTTAAAAAATAGAAATGAATAAAAAATTTTAAGTAAATATTTCAATTTAAACAGTATTTTTTTTTTAATCTCTTTTTAGACTAGTTTTTATAATTCTCTCTTAATATTTTATTTTACAAGTTTTCGCTTAAATCTTAAATCCCTTACCTCTTAGTTTAATATTTTTAGATTATGTCTTAGTGACAAAAGTGTACTTTCATTCTAATCCTTTTTTAACCTTTAACAATTAGAAAATTTAAGTATAATGTTTTTTCCCATTATATTTTAGTGAAATATGTTTTTACTGTTTTGTAAAAACTAATTTTTACCTAATATAATTCTGGTAATTAAAAGTTAAGTATATAGTTGTAGAAGATTCAGTGTCAATTTATCACGCAAAATTCATCATGGTGATAATTCCTCATAAAGCACAACTGGTCATAATGACAATTAGTTTTAGGCACAACTCCTTTATTAGTACAACTTATTAGTTTCAAAAATGTTCTTCAATTAAAAATAGAGCTTTATGCTCATTTAATACTATTTTTTTAAAAAACTTTCAATGAATTTTTATTTCAATTATTGGCAAGGATTATAGCATAGAAGCTTATTTATTTCATTTGAATTGTATAATTGATATTTTTATATTTTACCATAAATTTTGCAGCAAATGTAAAACCAGGATAATAAACTTGAATTATAAGCTCATATATATGAAATCAAATCATGCATTTAAAAATGAATAAACCATCAAGTCAAGATTTTTGTCAGTTATTAATTTATATTTTTACTGAATTAGGAACAAAATAAGATTTACAGGCAGTTGAAACCCACAAAAATATAATTATTTTCCTAAAATGTAATAATACTAGGAAAAAAAGTATGAGAAAAAAAGTATAAGAAAATAACTAATTAATAATATTTACTGCTTATTTCCTGGGTTTATTTCTTCATTTCAAAATTTCTAGTAATTTTTAAATTTTTTTTTTGTAGATATATCTTTACCTGTGCTATAAGTAAAATGTCATGTTAAGCGCTTTCTTCTTGTTACATATTTTGCGAAACATATTTTTCATTTCAGAGTGCTACTTTAAGTGTTGACAACTGTGATGTTGGTCTTTCTTTGAAGCACGGAAAACAACTAGGAAATTATTTCTGTGCCAATACTACGAAAATAAAACTGGAGAGAAGGTAATTATATTCATAACTTTAATATACAAAGTGTTTTGTAAGGACCACCTTTAATATATATTTTTAGAATTTTTATATACTGTACGTAACTTAGTGAAAACTAATAAATAAGAAGATAAGTGTTAATCCACTATGGTTTATAAAAAGTAAGTGTAGACTATAAAAACTAGGACACAATAAAGTTTCACTATACGCCACTAAAATTGGGGTTGCTTATTTTGCATGAAATATTAATAGCGTAATCAAAGAGGCAGGGAATATCATTAATCTGCAGTCAATTTTTTATTCTTTTTTATTTGAATGATAGAGGCAAAAGTTAATCACCTTGTCTGTTAAAAAAAAAGACATTTCCCTACATTTAATGTAACAATTTTTAAATAAACTCATGTTTGTGAAAATTGCAACACCATAAAGGACATACGCGAGTGAGCTGAAATTTTTAGGAAATGCAAAGTGAAGCATGATGTGCAAATGATTAGAATTTCAAACCCATATGTTCAGACCGTATATTCAGACCCATGCCTATGCTGAGTAGCGCCTTCTGAACGGCGGATAGATCCGAATAAATAGATGGCTGTAGCGAGGCGTGTATGGTTATCGGTGGTTATCTGCTAGTGGTAAACGTTAGCTCGGTCGTTACTTATACCTCTTCGACGAAAGAGAGCGAGACTTCAACAACTTACGGAGTTTGAACGGGGGAGAATCATTGGCCTTCGTGAAGCTGGATTGTCTTATCGCGCAGTAGCCACTCGTGTGCAGCGTAACAGCAGCACAGTGATGCGGGTTTGGAAGCAGTGGACGGACGAGTGTCGGACAACTCGGAAATCCGGGAGTGGACCCCGAAATGTCACATCAGCTAGCGATGATAGACCCCTGGTCCGCATGGTGCTGATGGACCATACGGCTCCCTCTAGACAACTGGCAGCACAGTGGTCAATTTCTACAAGTGTTTCATTGTGTGCTTCATCAATTCGTAGACGTCTGCTGCAGCATGGACTGCGCTCAAGGACTCCTTTATACAGGATCCCCCTCATGCTAAACCATTGCCGACTGCGGCTACAATGGGCCAATCAGCATAGGGACTGGCGTGCTGATTGACAGCGTGTCGTGTTTTCTGACGAATCCCGTTTTAATTTGTGGTACCATGATGGCCGGATTCGTGTCAGACGCTATGCTGGTGAACGCCACCTTCCGGAGTGCATTATCGAACGCCACAGTGGACGAACACCCGGAGTTACGGTCTGGGGTGCCATAGCATATCACAGACGATCTCAATTGCTATGAATTGCGGATAATTTGAACAGCAACTGGTACATCATTGAAGTTCTGCAGCCCCAAGCTGTTCCCTTCTTCAAGCCTTGCCAGACGCTGTATTTCAACAGGACAATGTCCGCCCTCATATTGCTAGGACTGTTCAATCCATCCTTGCATCGTGGCAGGTACAGCTTCTTCCTTGTCATGCGTATATGTCGATGATTGAACTTGTGTGGGATTTCTTTGGTCGGCGTCTCGCTCGTGATCCTTGTCCTGTTGCTTCTACAGATGAACTTTGGGTACGTATACAAACAATATGGAATGGTCTTCCTCAGACAGACATTCAAAATTTGCTTGACTCCATGCCACGTCGTGTAGCAACACTTATTGCGGCGCGTGGTGGTTACACAAAATACTGATTTCGATTTCTTGTTATTGTTTGTTCGCTTGGTATTGTTGAAAGTTTGATCATTTATTTGTACCACTACCACTCAACCGTGTATTAAATTTCATTCAATTATGACGATTCCTTCATGGTGTTGCAATTTTCACAGACATGAATTTAGTTTTAGATTTTTTCGATATAAATATTTAATTTGTTAGTTAAAAATATACTTTTAACCAAAAGTTAAAAAGTGTATTATTAATTTTTTTAAGCAGAACACTTTCCTTTAAATTTCATGATTGAATTTTGTAGCTTCAATAAATTTTCTAAAATATTTTAATCTTCCTGGAATAAATATTAAAATGTATGCTATTTCTTATCCTCTCAGTCATGTAGCACACTGTCATGTAAAGTGCAAGTTATTTTATAACCAGAAGATAATGAGTTAAGTATTTAGACAAATTCACTTTCACAGATCGCTTTTCTACTATTCTATATTCCATATACTATCCTATATTTGCATTGATGTAGGGCAAAATCACCTCTGGAAATATCTTTAGTCCAACAGCGAGGGAGTTATATCTAGCTTATTCTGGAAAAATTTCCATCAGCCTTGTGGTCAATGCATGTTAGGTGCCTTATACAATTCAAACAACTATTACTTAAATTTGTACACTGATTGCTTTCTTACAACATTATGTTCATTTAAGATTATTATGTTTAGATTCCCTACCTTAAGTTATGTGACTTTATTTAGATTTCAATGAATACCAATAAAATTTGTAATTGTTGCATACTCAATTCAAGAAGAGATAATTATTCAAAGTTGTGGTATGATTTATAATGTAAGATGCCATTTTACTTCAAATAGTTAAAAAGTTCTTTTTCAGATAGAATTTCCCTTCTACCATTTCATATTCAATCAAGAGTAAGAGACTCTTTTTATTCAATAAATTTAGAATCGATTAAGTTTGTACAGTTTAATTAACCTTACAAAACTATTCAAAATTCCAATTTCACTAAATAAAGAATAAGTATAAGTTTTTTGTTGAAAAAATGCATTTTTGTGTCAAAATAAGCATATTTGACCACAGTTAACTGTTATGCAGAGTACATTACTTTCTTTCAAGATATTTTTAGAGCACTTTACAGGGGGAAAACCTGGCCAACAATTCAAAAGTTTTTTATAAAGTTTTCTGCTTTACCCTTTTGTGTGTGCTAGGAACCTGGTAAAATTTACTGGTTCTCTTTTTTAGGTGTTCAGATTTGAAGCAAACTTGCTATAGATTTCTTGATTTAACTGGACCTTTGCAAATTGGAGGATTACCCTCCTTATTAAGTGATTTTCAAGTACAAAACAAAAATTTTAATGGATGTATAAAGGATTTGTATGTGGATAATCAACTAGTAAACTTAAATAGGTAAGAAAATTGTTTTGCTAGCGTTCAAAGGAGCTAGAGCTTAATTTAAAAAATATTGGTAATGAATCTTTATTCATTTCTTTAGTTCACTAAACCAATCATTTTAGTAGAAAAATGTTTTTAACTTTTTTATAAGAACTTAACATTTAATTTATTATATTCATTTTTAATATATTGCTCTTTAATTTTTACTCATGCATGAAGAGTTTGGGGAAGAAAATTGTTAGAGACATGCTTAAAAATAATTTTAGTTTTAAAAATGTGTTATATTTAGCTGTATTTATAGGACTTAATTTTTCTGTCTCTTCATTAAATGAGATGATTTTCATTGGTAAAATGTGTATATTTTTTCAAGATGATGTCCCTAAATTGACTAAAATGCTACCTAGAATCTTCTACTACTTTGCTCAGCAATTATTTTTTACGAAATTTTGTGTACTTTATTCACTATGATAAGCTATTTCTGAAGTTTAGAATGCCATCATTTCATCATTGTTTATATTATCATTTGAGTATATATTATTTCATTTCACCATTTATCAGTTTTGTGGCCAATAATGGAACAACTGTGGGATGTCCTCAAAAAATGGGATATTGTCATTCTTCTCCCTGCAAAAATGGAGGAACTTGTGTCGAAGGTTGGGGATCTTATTACTGTACTTGTCCTACTGGATTTGTAGAAAAGGATTGTAGTGAAGGTAAGGCCATCATTTAATTTCTCGGTATTGGATGAATATAATTTTTCCTTGTTTCTTTCTTCTCTAAAATGTTCTATAAGTTCTAATCTTTTCAGCAACAAAGTAGCATCTTTTTATTATATTTATTTAAGAAGTGAGAGCAAATTTTAACAAATGAACTTAATAGACGCATTTTTTGTTATTCAGTCAGCAAAATCATTGTGTGTACAAATTACAAAGTTTTTATTAGCTAGTTTTAATCTGAGTAGATTGAAGAACAGATTAGTTAACACAAGCTATAATTGAAGTTTCAAAATACATTAGAATTGTACTTTTTAAACATAAATATATTTTTTAGACAAAAAAAAAAGAGTATGTTCTAAATATGAGTATGATAATATAGAATTTGTCATAATATACAAAAATCTGCTGCAAGTTTGCTATTTTTATGTACAAAGTTACATCAAATATATATATACACATATATTTACTATAACTTTAGAACTATTTGTACAAGTCAAAATATTTTTATTCTAATATATAAGTTCTGTAAACTCAACGCCAATTTCATGAAAAGCATTTAATTTATAATAATTAATGATATTATATAGTCTAATAATGATTTCAGCTTTATTAATGATATTATATTATTAATGTTTTGAATTTTGAAATATAAAATTTTTAAATCATATTTAACTATGTATTTGTGAAAATCCAAAATTTTAATGAAGCTGTGTGAATATTTCTAGGGAAATAAATGTTTAAAATTATATGCATTCAAATTTCAGCTTTAGGTGTATATTAGCTTGTAAAATTTAAATACTTTATAATTAAGACATTTTTTGATGATTATTACATTACATATTTAAAAAAATGGTTTCTAAAAGATATTTTTCTACAAAATTATATTTGGGTAAATGTGTTTCATGATGGCTCAGTAGTTAAAGTCATAGAACAATTGTGAAGGACTGGAGTTGGATCCTCAGAAGTGCCTAGAAGCCCACCCAGCATCAGATTGATGCATACCAGTCTTCCGGGAAGCACTTGTAGCATTGTGTGTGTAAAATGTTGACCACATTGTCATACTCATGAAATTGTGAAGCCTTAACTAAAGAATTTAATTTTAAGTTTCCAGTGTTTATATATTTAAACTTTTAACTTTTTAAGTAGTTATGTACAGTTGATTTTAATCAGTATTGTTCAATGCAACTTATAGGTAATTTTTTGCGTCATTGCAGGTGTAGCAATTGTTAGGCATTTTATTGGAGATGGTTTTATGGTTTTCCTCCCACATTTGTACCCAATACAGCTGCCATGGATACAAAAAGTATCATTTAGGACACATCATGATGATGGTTTATTGCTACAAATTAAGCTAGGTCACAACAGCCTAATTATAATAGATGTAAGTAATGTACAGTGTGCCAAAGAAAGAAAAAAAACGGAATACCTTGAATAACTTTTGATTTAATGATCGTATCTTCATGTTATAAGACTCTATCCTATTGGTTTAAGGGGGTGACCTCAAATATGGTAATTAATTAGTGCAGACGATATTTTACAAAAACATACTTTCTCCGAATGAACATACCCTTTTTCTACAGATTCGTATTTCTGACCACCAAAATACCAAAATATAGGGGGCAGCCGCAATCTGGGAAATATGCTTCCCATAATTTGGCCAGGAGAGTGATCTAATGCTTGGACCCCTTAATGTTAATTTTACTTTTTGCGTACTTCATCATATCTTGAAAACTTTTTCAGCGAATTGAAAAAATTATGCACACAATTATAAAATTCGTTTATCCAAAGATAATTCCATGCAAAAAGTAAATTTTAGTAAGTATTTATTATTTTTATTATTTTATTTAATAATAGTTGAAAAATTTTTGAAATGTAAGGTATAAAATTTTTACGTCATTTTAAAGTATGTAATTTTACATGGCAAAATACAAAATTTGAGCAAAATCAGTTGAGTAGTTCTTGAGAAATCAAATTTTAACGAAGTCGTTTATTTAAAATTTGATTTCTCAGGTCTCCGGTTTTCCTCAAATTTTGTATTTTGCCATGTAAAATTATGTACTTTTAAATGATGTAAAAACTTTGTATCTTACAATTTAAAATTCTTTCGACTATTATTAAATAAAATAATAAAAAATAATAAATATTTACTACAATTTGCTTTTTTCATAGAATTATCTTTGGGTAAATGAATTTTATAATTGTGTGCAAAAAATTTTTCAATTTTGCTTAAAAAGTTGTTGAGATTTGGCGAAGTATGCAAGGAGTAAAATTAAAATTAAAGGGTTCAAACTTTGGATTGCTCTCCTGACCAAATTGTGGGGACCACATTTCTCAGATTCCTGCTACTCCCTATATTTTGGGGGTCAGAAATACGAATACATTGAAAATAGGTATGTTTATTTGGAGAAAGTATGTTTTTGTGTCTAATTTCATCTTTTAAAATATCGTATGCACTAGTTAATTAGCATATTTGAGGTCACCCTCTCGAACCATTAAGATTGAGTTCTAAAATGTGAAAATCTGATCATTAGATCGAAAGTTATTCAGGGTTTTTTTTTTTTTTGGAGCACTGTAGAAACTTCTGTCAAAAAATATTGCAATTAGAATTCTGATATGAGTTTTTAAAATCAAAGTAGATACTTATTGATTTGGTTTATTAAAATAATGCCAAACACATTTCTTTATAAAAATTTAATTAAGAGGTTTAAAGAAAGAGTAAAAAAAATTCTAACAAGAGAAAAATATATTTGAACACTTTATGCTGTAAAAAAATAGCAATTGGTCTCTTAAACAGTGATTTACTGTAATATGTTATCTATTAAAATTTTATTTAAAGTATTTTCTCTCAAGAACTTCACATTATGACTTGATTTGTTTTGTGTTTCTTTTCATCGTGTTCTTGCACTGATTAATAAACTTTGAATAAACTAGAAAAGAGTTTAAATTCACTGTTGTGTTATCACTTTCGAAGCAAGATTTGCACATTTTATGTGCCAAAATTGCTAATACATTTTAACTGTACGTTTTCATTCAAAATTTATCCCAAAGTCGTGTGCAAACAATTTTAAAAAACGTTTTTCTGAATAATAGTGATTTTAAAAATGTTAAAGGTTTGATGATAATAAGCAGGTTAAGTTAATATACATTTCTTCACTCATGGAAAAACTCAGTAATTGGTTGATTTGAGATAGGAAAAATTTTAAAAATTTATATTATTCAGAGTTTTAATGATCAAATTCAAATATTTTTTTAAAAAATAACATTATTTTTAAAAGTATTGATCATGAAATTTTTTTTATCATAAAATTTCTTTTTTATTTATAAAATTTTTTAGTCACTTACATTGGTTGAAAATCTTGTTTTTAGGGTCCTAATGTTCTGCTGGAATATAATATGAAAATAGTTAAAGATATTGAATAAATTTCATTATGCTTTTTATATTTTTGGTGTTATTCATTTCTTTGTAAAGATATATCTTCGTTCTTGGAATATATTTTATATAATTTCATATATTTTTTAAATAGAAACATATATCCATGTGTTGCAAGCATGTGTGTGTTACTGTGAATAACCAAAATTGATGGTTGTTAACTTCCACTGGTGATTGTTGACAATCACATAGTCCCTTTGGTAAATGTCTGAAATATATACTAGGTCTAGTTAAGTGCCACTGCCTGGTATACATTTACCTCATATGCCCCACATCAATGTTTTCTTAAGTTTCAGTGTCATTGCTGGGTATACATTTTCCCAGTATGCCCTACATCAATATTTTTTTAAGGTCAAGTGCCACTGCCCAGTGTGCATTTAACCGGCACTTCGAACATCGATGTTTCTCTTTATCTATCCTCAGTAGATATTAAAATAGTGACTAAATATAATAATATCACCTAATAAGCTCATATCAAATCAGATATAACAAATATTTCGGACATTCACCAAAGCAACTATGTGATTGTTAACATTTACCGGTGAAAGTTGACTTTCTCTTGATTTTAGTCATTCACAGTAACACACACACATATATATACACAATTGTACTTTTTAAACA